AAAACCTTCTGCTTACCACATATATTATCCGTCCGCTTTTAACATTTAAGCAACATAAAGAACTGACCGTAATAATAGCAAAGTATATCTAATTGAAGATTAAATATTGAAAATTAAAAGGAATGTATACAGAAAAATTATATGCATCATATAAATTTTATAAAAATTTATTATAATTTTTATAATGTATAAAATTTTAGTTTTTATAATATTTTCAAATTCTATATATCTATGTATTTTTGCATAGGTATATAGAAAAAAACCTCTAGTAAATAATAGTAAATTATTAATATTTTACTATTAAAATTATTTAATAATATTTAACTAGTTTTAATATTAGAAATATAAAACTATTATTAATTAATATATTATATTATAATAAATTTAATAAATTATATATTTTTTTTATAATTGTTAAAAAATAAAGTAAAGTATATAAATTACTTAAATTAAATATAATTTTAAATATAATTTAATTTTAATTTAAAAATTTATATAATATTTATAAAAGTTAATAATATATATATTTTTAAATATATATTTTTATAAAAAATATCTTGATATAAAATAATATAAAATGTATAATAATTTAATTTTATTATAAAAACTATTATTTTTATAATAAAAACGATTTAAATATTTAAAATTATTAATTATTATTAAATACTTAAAAAAGAATATTTAATATTTAGTGTTAATTACTATTCTTTATAAATATAAATATAAAAATTCACTAATTTTTAAATTATACAGTAATCTATTTTTAGGATTAGGCTGAGTTAGTTGTCATAAATTATATATCACATGGTTATCTATTAGTAAAACCCTTAATATAAAATAAATTAAATCATGCTTTTCAATCAGACTCGGAGAAATCAAATTTTTTTTTATTACTATTCTGCTTTTAAACTATATTTGTACATAATTAGAAAAACAGTAATTAGAAGGCGTATGTAAACAAAATCCTCCAATTTTCTTTTATAATCTTTTATTGTCATTTTGTGCTACCTTTAATAAAATGTATATATAATCCACTAAAACTTTCTCCTCAAAATACAACAAATCATTATATCATTGTTAGAAACGTTATTTGATAAATCTTCAAGAAAATAGTTTAGCAATATTTATCAAAGATATCAAAGATGAATAATAGTTCTTTTGGAGTAATTCATGAAAAAGATATGAAACAAATAACATTGAAAAATATTGATATTGAAGCTAATAGTAAATAACAGAATTATTTGAGAATTATTTAAAATTTGATGATTATATTGATATATTAATCTTTTTTTATTTCATTTTATTTTGGATAGTCGTTGATATGATTGCGGAAGGTATAATAAACTATACCTAAAATATATAAAATTTTTTATTTATTTTAAAAAAAAAAAATTTATCAATTTTAGTGAAAGTTATCCAAACTTTTAAGAATGAAACCTCGGAAACTCTTCAAACGGAATATTCTTTTCCATTTATCTCATCTGCGGCGATTTATAAATTCGAAGTTGAAACTGACGGAGGAAAAACCATCGATGGTGTAATTAAAGAATCTTATGAAGCCAATCAAGAATTTAATGAGGCAGTTAAAGTATTTATATGATGAAAATCTTTAAGGGAGTTTTTTTTCCTTCGAATAATTCTTTTTAATTAATACATATGCGTATACTTTATATTTGTTTCTAGCAAAATGATAACATTTCAGACAAACGAGCCTCAAATATTAAATCCGATATGTTTCAATGTAGCATTGGAAATTTAAAGCCGTGCCAAACAGTTGTAATTAAAATCACTTATTTAACAGAACTCAAGAATGACGCTGATAATGAGCAAGTTCGATTTGTTCTTCCTGCAACTTTCAGACCTCGACACAAGTTATATAAGAATAATAATATCAGCAAGTGCCCTATTTCTATAATTATTACTTGCAAAATGACATCAGTAATAAATACGATTGAATCACCCTCTCATTTTCATTTTATTTCAACTGAATGGAATATTGATGGAAATTCTAAAGTTGCTCGTATTACTCTAACCAAAGATGTTCAATCGTTGGATAAAGATTTTGTTTTGATAATCAAGAGTAAAGATTTAGATCAACCAAGGTAAATGAATTAAATATATAAGAAATAATATTATTTATTTATATGTTTACCTTATTATTTAAAAAAATTCATTTTCTTTAATAAATAGAGCGTTTTTGGAATATAATGAGAAAACTTCTTCAAATTGTATTATGCTTACTTTCGTACCAACCTTTTCAATGACATCCGTTCGATCAGAATTAGTATTCCTAGTAAACACGTCTTCATCAGTGCGAAGAGATGCGACATTTTGTAAAACGATACAATCTCTAAAATTCCTATTATATTCTCTTCCTCAAGATTGTTATTTCAATATAATTTCAGTTGAAGACAATCATTATAACAAGCTTTCTGAAACAAGCAATCCAAAAAGCAAAAGATTATTTTCTAAAGCTCTTGGGTTTATTAATGATTTCGAGTTGGAATCTAATTACGAAGAATGTGAAGCATGTGAAGCAGTTGATATTTATGAGCCGTTGAAATGGGCCATTGAAAATTCTTTGTCAGACATGCCGTCCACATTATTTCTTTTAACAGATAATAAAGTTGAAAATAGAGATGGTTGTATTAAATTAATTAAAGATAAAGTAAACCAAAGAAAAGACTTTTTTCGTGTTTTTGGAATAAATATTGGAGATTCTGTAGGTTGTGAGAATTTCATCGAAAATTTAACGAACGTCGGAAGGGGTTACACACAATTTCTTGCAACAAATGAAAGAATTGAAAAGAAATTACGAAGTATGTTACGAAATGCTGTTACCCATCCGATTACAGATTGTAGACTTATTTGGACGACAACGAATGGAGAACAAGATGTTATTGAAGAAATTCCAGCACTTTATAATGGAAATAGATTTACCTTTTATTGCATTGAGGAAAATGAAGCTTCCGTTAACGATAAACTTTTAATTACCGCCAATTCCCTTGATGGAATTATTGAATTGAAATTCGCTATCGAAAATATTGTCTTAGAAGGGAATAAAATTCATGCTTTGGCAGCTAAAAAACTAATTGAATCTTTTCAAGATGGGAATTCTTATATTCATTATCAAAACAATGGTTATATGAGTGAGGATCAAATTAAAGAAGAAATTGGTTCACTAAGTAATTTATATAATCTTGCTACATCCCGCACGAGGTAACTATCTTTCTATTATAAATTTTTCTTTAAAATAATTAATTTAAATTTAATTCAAATTTATTTATTTATTTTTATAGTTTTCTTGTAAAGGACGAAGTTAATAGTACCATCATCAAGGGAGAATTCTTCTGATGAGATCACATCAAAGATCGGATATATAATATGGAAAATTTTCCATCTTATGAATTTCAATCTTTTCTTTGGTATTTGCCATTGCTTATTTGGATATTGATTATAATAAAATTGTAAAGAGAGCTTATAATTCTTGACAATTTAAAGAATGGATTTATGGAGGTATTATTAAACAAATCAAATATTTTCGAATAAATTGCAACTTTTAAAAAGAGTTCGTTTTTAATGCGTTATTTAATGCGTTATTTAATGGAACACTTGCTATCTGTCTCTTTATGGCCAGAATTCTGCATGACAACAAAATGACTCACAGATTCAATGTTATTTGATAACCCAAATGATGTTTCTTTAATCTTTCTAATAAATTTTATTCCTGGGGAAGAATTTGGTTCAGATTTAAAAGTGATGATATAAGAAACATCCGACAAGCTTGATATCAAAAATACGAAATACCTTTTGGTATCGAGTGAATCATGTGATAATTGGAAAGATATAATACGAAATATAAATAATCCGATATTTCAAATTGATTCCTTTGTTTAGAGGAAGAGATCCTTATTGACCCGATAATTATGTTATTCGATATATTTATGGTGTATAAAGGAATTTGTCTAAAAATTCTTTGTGATTTTGATTTGAAACGATTGGTACATCCTTATAATTTAATTCGTCGTTAATATCTTCTGAAGGAGTATATATAATACAATAAAACTAGAACTGATGTGAAATATATAAATAAGAAAATTAAAATACTTTTATGAAATAAAGATAGTGATTTTTTCGATTGTTTATCGGAAGGGATTGAAGTTTTTGTGCAAATATGTATGAAGTGAATTATGGTTATGATGAGTTTTTTTGATGAAATGCTTTTATATAATTATACTGAACCACGATCAGCAGGGTTTTTAAAACTTTTACAAGAATTCGAAGATATACTGTACATATGCACCATATTTATAATATTTTTACATAGATATTTGTGAGTATTAATCTTATATGCATCTAACAAAAAATTTCTTATTAATAAATAGATTCTTTGTTTTCTTTGCAAACTCATTTTGTTTGTCGATTCGACATGCAACATTAAATTATACAAATGCTTGACCAATTAAAGTAATCCACGTTTTGGTAGAAACTTTGGTGTGATAAAAATTCAATTCAAGTTTGAATTATTTATTATTTTTTTTTAAAATATATAAAATGATGATATATCACGTTGGTATTAGATAGATGACATAATTGTTAATGAATTGATCACGCGATTAATGTGTTTTTAAACAATTTATAAATATTAGCAAATGTTTCTCTTTATATAAGTCAAAATCTGAAACATAGCAAAGGTTTATGTATTTATATAAAAAAATAGTTAAATTTATTTAGTAGTTCACTTAGTTATACAAAATTAGCTTAACTATTAATAATCAAATTTATTTATTTTTTTTTTACTAATTATCTATAATTTTTTATAATAAATTTTAATTAAATAAACTGCTTTTTAAAAATTAAATAGACATTTAAATAATAATTTTATAACTTTATATTTAATTAAAATTAATACATTATATAAAACTAAATAAAAATTATTTAATAGATTTTAAATCATTAAATTTAAATTTTTATTAAGATTTAATTATTTATAAAATTATATTTTTTTTTGTAATTTTATATTATAATATTAAAATTTTGATTTAATAGTTAAACTTAGATAAGTATTAATAAATAATTATTATCTTATATTAATATTTGTATTTTTAATAAATTAAAACTAAAACATTTTATTATTTATTCTAATTGAATACAACTAAAATTATATACAATTATAATTATATAAAAATTAATATATAGAATTATTAAAAATCTAAAAAAACTAAGAAAATCAGGTTCTGAAAATTTTTGACTAAAATAAATATTTTATTACATTTTAGTTTAAATAAAATAAAAATTAAAGTCTAATTAAAATCTATAATTTTGATAAAAATTCTCAGAACTTGATTTTCTTAAATTATAACCTATATATTTTTTAATAAAATATTTTTTTAAGATATTAATAAAAAAAAATAAAATTTATATATAATCAAGGTTACTAGAAAAACTAAAGGGTTTTTCATTTGCTGAAATTCTGAAATGCTAAAATTTTGTCAAAACTATATATTAAACTTTTATTAAAATTTTATTAAAACTAATCACAGAATTTTGAAGAGGTTAAGATAAGTATCCTTATATATAATTATTCATATATGAAAAATATAAATATAATAAAAGAAATAACATAATATATGATAATTAATAAAATTAATAAAATATTTCTATTATATATATAATAGAAATATTTTAGAAAAAATATAAATAATATATATATTATTTATACATTTTATAATCTTTTATAATTTTTATTATTTAAATTATTTAAATTATTTTTATAAAATAATATATAGTATAATATTTATTAAGTAAGAAAATATATATATGGTTATAAACTAAGAAAATCAGATTCTGAAAATTTTTTAACTAAAATTAATATCTTGATCTAAAAATAATAAAAATTAAAATGCATAATAAAAAATTCTTAGGACTTGATTTTCTTAGATCATAACCCATATATTAAGTTTTACTGGTTAATTAAATATTCATATGGGAGCTTGTCAATAGAAAGGGAGGAAATCTAAAAAAAAAAAGTTTTTGAGTTAATGTTAAATCTGGACTTATTTTACTAAAAAAATCATATTTAGCATATGAAGTGAAATTTTAATTTTTTTTAGATTTCCTCCTTTTCTATTGACAAGCTCCCATATTAAGAAAGATAATTTCGTTAGGTATTACTATTCTTAAGTATTTTAATATAATCTATGATATTTTCTGCTAAGAATTTTTTGAAGGTTTTTTTGGTATAGTAATGATTAGGGTTCTACAATTCAATTTGATATTTGAATATTTGATTTGAAAATTAAATCAAATACAAATTTAAATATAAATTTGATTTGATTTGATCAAATTCAAATCAAAGAATAATTTATTTAATTGAATTCAAATTAATATTTGATTCAATTCGTTCAAATTAATATTAAGTATTCAAATATTTAATTTGATTTGAATCAATAGTAAAGTCATCTTTAAAGCTTCAGGAGTGCCTTTTACTAAGAAAACTATAGTAAATAATATTACTACAGCTTCAGAAATGTTTTTTTTACTAAAATAACTATAGCAAAAAACACCTTTACAGTTTTGGAAATGCCTTTTTTACTAGAAAAACATAATAAAAAATATCTTCGCAGCTTTAGAAATGTTATTTTACCAAGAAAATATAGTAAATAATGTCTCTGTGGCTTTAGAGACATTTTTTTTACTAAGAAACCTAATGAAAAATGTGTCTGCAGCTTCAGAAATATTTTTTTACTAATAAAATGATTACGAAGCTGAAATAGCAATTATTACTAATAAAACTAAAGCCATAATAGTAATTATTACTAAGTTTTCTTAGTAAACTGAAGCTGTAATAGCAGTTATTACCAAATTTTCTTAGTAAAACTGAGACAGCAGAGTTATTTTACTAAGTTTAATAGTAAAAATTTACCTGTTACTTAACTTACTTCGTAAAGCTATCTTTGAAATTTTTAGTACAATTGTTAATAATTTTTTAATTAAAACTTTATAATAACTTTATTTTAATATATTATTATAAAAATTAAAAAAAATTTATATTTGATTTAATTCGATACAATTTGATTTGATTTGATTTGAAAAATATTTGATTTAATTTGATTCAATCAAAGATTTGATTTGATTTGATTTGATAAATATTTGATTTAATTTGATTTAATTTGATTAAATGCAAATCGATTCAAATTGATTTGATAAAATTTTTGAGTAATTTGATTCAATTTAATTCAATTTGAAAATCAAATGAAATTCAAATTGCTTAAATATTTGATTTGATTTTGAGAAACTTAGTAACGATGATATACTGTATATCTTTTATAAGTATTATAGATAGAAACTTCTTATTACATATAGGATAATATATAAACTCAAATTTATTCACCTTACGAAATTTCTGCAGAAGATCTCATTCAAATTCATTAAGTATATCACCAAGTATATCAACAGGAAGTGGCTTAATATTTGTATCTGTGTCATTATGAAGCTATTGTTGCAAAATCCTACTGAAAACTTTTTTGTTTCAATTCATGCCTTGATTCTATTGCATATTCATATCAAAGTTAGCCAAATATTTTTTCACTTATGGTAATTACTTAAACATTTTTATATTATTGTTTAATCTCTATTGCTAATTTACACATTTTTAATCACAGTTATGTGAATGATACACCTCTCATTCTTAAGAATTCTTTCTTACTCTTTTTTATCAGGTTCTCTCACATTACTTTGCAATATATGTCTCATATTGGTCAATTATTTCATTTTCTTTAAATTAAATTTTCAAAGAGAATTTTATAAATCATGATATGTATTGATTTAATAAATGTGATGCTAAAGAAAAGTTAATGTTAAATAGTGGCTTTTATGTAATGGCTTTTCATATTACAAATTATGTGAAATAATTAGTAGTTTAATAGTAATATAGCATAGTATCATAGCATAGTTAACACATTATTAGTGATATGATAGTCTTGTTATAATGCATGATACTACATCAAACATAATTCAGTCTGGGATTTTACCAAAAATGGAAACTGAATCTAAAATAATCAGCAGTCACGTTTCTAAAATTTAATTAGTTATTAATTAAAATAATTGTAATACTTTCGCCAATCCAAACGGCAAAAAAAATATTATAATGCATTTATAATAAATTTACGAAATATACTCTTTCAACTATATGCTTTTATAATCTGCTTTCATCTGCAAAAGGTTACTTAAGAATATAAAGCATAATATTAACTTGAAATTTCCTAAAATTAACCTTTAGAATGATGACTGTTAAAGGATTGCTATGCATATTTGAAGGGATTTTTGCTAAATATTCAGAAAGCTTAGTATCATGTAAACTCAAGGAGAACTAAAAGTAGAGGCATTCATCAGTGAAGGCAGCAGCAGACCGAATAAATACATTTGCTAAGTATCTTTCTGAACTATCTTCATTATGCAATTTTTTAGAAAATTATTCAATTTGTGAAAAGCATTATAATCAAATTGTTGCTACTGATACTTTACTTAATAAATTCATAACAAAAAATAACTCTGAAGAAAATAATCAATGAAAAAAATTAAGAATAATTGAAGATAGAGATATCATACAAGATAATAAAAGTCTTATACTAGAGTTAATAGATATAAGGAGATCTTTAACTAATTCCGAAGCTCAACGAATAAAATATGTTGAACTTATAAAGGAATATAAGCAGAGAATTGTTCAATTAGAATCTGAAAAAGAAGAGTTAGAAAGCAAATGGAATAGTCGATTTGATGAACAAAAGGCAAGAATTGATTTGTAGTTGAAATTGCTAAAATAGAATGTGGAAATTTTTATAATGATATTATTAACTTAATAAATAATCAGAAATGATTTAGTTTAGATAGTCTTTTAAGTTATCCTGTTTCTAACTGGCTTTCTAAATGAAAGCCTGTTATTGTAAAGTTTATAGAAACTTTCATATGTAATGAAAATAATAATCAGCTCGAGGATGAAAAGCTTTTTAAATGAGGGTAGCAGTTGATGCTATTTATGGAGCAAGGAACTTAAAGTATGTTTATTCTATTAATCTTGCTACTTTTGCGATCAAATATTCATTAGCAAGATCCAAAACTATCATTGATATCGACAACCATATTATTAGTTCTGATAGCTATACAAAATTTACTAACTGGTTAGAAAGTTTAGCTATTGAACAGCAATCACTTCCTAAAGGTTTCTTATTCTTAGCTTTTGATAATGAGCAAAAGGTCAAAAGAACTATCTGAATCGTAGGTATAATACAGTTGTATTTCATACAGTTACAAGTTTCATTGCATTTTATCATAATCAATATAATAATATTCAAACTAATACTGATCCTTGGTTATATTTTGAGCTTACTCAAAAACAATATGAAGATTTATTATATTTTACTTCAGACATGAAAAATGAAATTCACAAAAAACTTGTCAAATACCTAACAACTATATTGGAAGAACTTTGTATCGAAAAGAATCAAGAAAAAATGTAATTGATGAGTCAGTACATTACCAAAGTAAACTAGGATATATGAAAATGCTATACTTATCAAATCGCTAATATTGACAATAAGAAACAAAATTGTCCTATGTGCAATGCCAAATTACCAACAATAGCTGAAATAACTCAACAATCTAATGAGCCGCTTGAGATCATAAATGCTAATAAAAATCCATTGGTCATATTTCCTCATATTTTTGAATCAAATAACTGGAATTTTATAAACTCTAATGATATATAACAATCAAATTTAGAAAGTAGAGTCAATATATCACAAATGTTTATTCCTGATTTAATAGGTATTAATCTGAATTCAATTGCCAATATTCAGAAGATTCTTGAACATATTGAAGAGATATCTGGTATTAAACAAAGTGGTCATAAGTAGATCGTAGTTGTCTGTGATGGAATACCATATAGTTACATACAGAAAATTAAAAAAGACTTCCCTTGGCTTATATTAGTTCTAAGTGCTTTTCATGAGTAAATAAACATGTTAAAGTTATTTGTTGAACTGAATTGGGATATTGACATGAAATATTTCGCTCAATATCAAGGATATCGAATTGAGAATCAACTTCATTTTTTAAAAAATGCACAGATCACAATAAATCTTGGGATTTAATATGTAACATATATAAATATGCAATGGCTTCTGAATTAATGTGACCATATGTTATTTTCGAAGAATTTCCTTCTGTTGATGGTTATCTTACATGAGCCCAGAATCAAACTAATCCTATATTTCAACTAAAATGTGAAAAAATTTTTTATTACTTACAAGCAATTATTAATTTTCATATTAGTGTTCGTATGAATAGGCCTTTATTAAAAGGTACAGCTAGACGAAAGTTTGCACCTATTTAGTCCGCTAGACAACATCCAATTTACCGATCAATTGAGATTATGGATGAAGAACAAATGCTAAGACTAAAGCCTGAAGTTCGTGATTTGATTTAAGAAAGAACTGTAATATCATAATTTGGACTTCCAAATCAACATCAAGGTCTTGAAGCAGTGGTCAAAGAAGTTAATAAAGCACTTAAGTCATTAATTCTCCCTATACCTTCACAATGACATTGGGAAATAGCAGCATACAATTGTATTAAATTTATGAAATTACGTACTAACTTATTTAATACAATAGGATATTCTAAAGGTAAAATTCATAGGCCTTATATGCGTTCTGATTTTGCAATTGAATCACATTGATTTTGAGTTAAAATAAGAAAAACTCAATTTATTGATTCTAATAATACTAATAATCAAATTTTCAAAATATTACCAGTGAATAGATGCTAAGTGAAGAACTAAAAAAATTTGGTGAAATTGCACATATAAAGAGGGCCAAATTTATTAAAGCAGTATTAATTGACAAAAGCCCATTAGGAATTTGGTATCCAATTCCTATAACATGTAGAGAAGCAAATCTTCAACAATCTGAAACTTCTTTAACAAAATGTGAAATTCTAACAATCATTAATTCTTTAATTCTATCTTTAAATGATTTGGATCAATTACGTTTTCAAAGCTTATCAAGTAAATCTCATGATAATTTATTAAATATTCTTCAAGAAATTAAAAATATTCTGATTGAAAATAATAACTTTATTGGTGAAAACTAATACAGTCAAACCTTGATATAGCGAACCCTTGATATAGCGAATTTTTAAATCAAATATATTAAAATTACCTTTACTATAGTGAACTAGCCAATTAAATTCTTTAAAAAATTCATTATAAGCTTATAACGAAGTTGATATCCAGATCCTAGAATTCGTTATATCAAGAGTTCACTGTATATTTATTATCTTTTATAAACATGTATATCATTTTTTTTAAATAATAAATAAATTAAGTTGATTTATAATTCTGGCTAAATATATTCATAATTTTTGATTTCTATATTTAGAGATGTATTAGAATATTCTGATTGGTATTTTTTTACCATAAAAGAAAAAGATCATCATATCAATTTTGGTAAAATCCCAGATTGTAATTGATATTGAAATTGCTGCGAAAACTGTGTAAATTTTAAAATTGCGAAAATTTCAATTGCGAAAACTGTATAAATTTTGAAAATGTGAAAAATTTGAATTTGGATATATTATTTTATAGTAAATAATTGTTAAAATTTGATAAGAATTTACCAAATTTTCTTACTATAACAAATTGTACCTCCAAACGTAATGATTCAGTTCTAAATAACTAAATAAATTTCTCCTTAAGTAGCTACTCTGAATTTTTATAGTTTTACATATTTTAATTTTTGTTAATAAATTAAACACTATTTATGAAACTTAGAAACTATAATTATCAAAAGAATACATGTATAGATATTTAAAGTAATGATTTTAATTAATACATTGTGTATAAAATTAGAAATGAAAATGTAGATCAAATTCAGTAGAAAAGTCAATTTTACTATGAAAATAAATCCTAATTCATACATGATACAATCAGATGAAAATTGGAATATAAAAGCAAAGAACTACCCTATTAACATGCAATTATAGAACAGTTCAAAAATTTCAATTAAATTAATGAACTAATTAGATATACAAAATTTCAAACAAATATTATTAGTAAAGTGATGATGTGAAAAGAATACCTTATCTTCACAGCTAAATGAAATTTTAAGAAGGTTAAGTGAGAGATAAGAAAAATAAATATGAAGGCTCAAAATGTATTTTTTACAAAATTACTATTGAAATAGAAATTTTTTTCACAGCTTATTTTTTAAGAATATTTATAAGTTTACATGCTGTATACAAATAGAAATTGCCGTTTTTTAAAATCATCTATTAAGACTAGCATATTTATTTTTTTAGTCTATTATTTTCTTTTCTTATTTAAGAAAATTTGCTTAATAATTCCATTCTCTAACTAAATAACCCTTTTAATTAGTCATGATTCTTTATAAGTATCAGGATTGAAATACCTAATTAAATAATTAAAAAATAGAAATTATTCTTTTTATTTCACTATTTATAGTTATTAAAAATCTTTTATAAACAAATGCTATAACAGCTAGCGGAAATATTACATGACTTATTGATCATTACTAATTATATTTTGTATAAATAATATACCTTAAAAGTAATATCTATACTAACTTTAATTGCATTTTAACAAATAAATTCTCAAATGATTACCATCAATTATTTACGTATTATTTTATATATTTTTAATATTTTTGTTAATATTGCAAGTTTGAATAATAAAAGATTGTTAATATAATATTAATAAACTTTTTACCTTTATGTTACTGATTGAACTGTTAAATGTACTTAAAGGTTTAAAAATATTACCTAGGTATTTGTATTTTATAGTAATTTCTTACTTTACATAAGTGAAAATAAAGTTTTAACTAAAGTTTTTGTAAAATCGACAAATAATTGCTTTATAATCCAATTACTTTATTATAAATTTGTTACTAATAGCATTTTTATTCTTTTTGATTAATAGATTTAATTATTCTTGACTTTAGCAACCTTGTAATATGATAAATCCACCAACTATAAACTCTTTTCTTATCCAATTTATTTCCAAGTAATTGAAGAGTTTCATCAAGTATATGGTCTGGGATTTTATTATAAACTAATAGACTTTCCAATATTGATTCTTCATGTGAAAGTGCTTTTCTTCATTTTTTAACTAGTTGTTTATCAACTTGTGACTAAAGTAACAGATATGTAAATGAATTAGGTAAGGCAAATCAAAGCCAACAACAAATTTTTGTATATTTACCTTTGATTGACTAATTATTTCTTAATGCTTTCATTTTCATTTTATCTCTTTTTTAGTTTTCTTTTGATTAATATAATCCTTATACTTTGTCTGATGAATTCCTAAGACATGTCTTCCTTGTGTCTTCTGAGATTTGCTATTTATTACATCTTGTTTATAAATTAATTGCATTCATTTTAGACTATCTTTATAACCTGCAATTAATTTTTCATATCCTTCTTTATATATTTCAGGTAATTTGAAGTCTTTAAAAACTTGATGCATTAGTGGATCTATCATGTCAAAAATTGTAACTAAATCTTCTATTAACTTCCATAGTAAATCTCTTCTGGAATTAATAGCATATTCACTTTGAGAAATCAAAGTATCTTCTAGATATTCACTTAAAAATAAATCTATTCTTTCTCTTTTTGCTTGAACTGCTTTAATATTTGTCTTTAATTTCATTTCATTAATAACATTCCCAGAATATTTTGTTTTATGAAATAAACTCCAAAGGTTTCAAGTGCCTCATCAAAGCCAAAATAAACAGGATTTTGATTTTCATTTTTTGGTATCTGAAATGCTCTAACATATCGTAAAATTTCATTTAATCTTGAATATTTAATTAAAGTAGAAAGGTGTTGAGCAATTGTTACTGTATAATTAGACTTTCTGGTACTTGAAAAAAGAGATGAGACGGCAGCAAGAACATTCCATTGCAAATTATGATTTCAAATCCTCATTCCTATTTGATGTGCTTATCACATTTCTGCTCATTAATAATAGAGATACCAAACTTTTAGAAAAATATTCATGTTATTATCTCCATCTATTATTTCAGATAAGTAAATATTTTTTTAGTATATATATTAATAGCCACTCCAACCGCTGTTCATATGAGATTCAAATCTCTAGATGTTGTCTGATAGTTAACGACCGCTTTAAACTTATCTAGAAATTGAACGCCTAATTATTTTGCCAAATTTAAAAAACTGTAACTAAAAAAATAGTGTAACTAAACTGAATAAAAATCTTTAGAAGTGTGCTATTGTCTAAGTAATAGTCTTAATTGAGGCCATTATGCTTGACATTTAATTAACTGATGAAAAATTGCTTCGTCAACAATAATATCAAGATATTCTGTTACTGATAATCTAAAATCAGCTTTATACATCTTGGCAGCTTTCAAAATTGCTTGTTCTGAATTTGGATTATCACCCAGTTCAAGAATTACAATATAAGAAGAAGGTCTTTAGCAATCATGTTTAAATTTTGCTAATATTATTTTTTTTAATTGTACCTACATCAAAATCTTGATTATAAACAAAATTTCCTTCATTTATTTCTTAAAAGTCTAATAATTTTTTTAATATTTCTTGAAATTTATTTAGAGCTTCTTGGGTGACAAAATTCATACCAAATATATGTTTATCATGATTTAAAACAACTACTTCTTTTACATATTATTAGATTACTGGGAAGTCTTGATTGAAATATCATTTTTAAAGTTACATGTAAATAGTTCTAGGTAGTATCATATATATTTACAAAAGAAAAATTATTTTTGTTTGAAATCAATATTATCTATTACTGCAAGATTTCATACATTTAATTCTTTGTATAGATTTTGTATAAGAATAACTTTACTCATTCGTTCTTGTTTTTGATTTTGTTCATGATGTTCACTATATTCAATTACATTCCATACAGCAAGAAGTTGATAAAGTAATGATAATAACTTTGGTTTACATATCATACTGCTTAATATATTAGTTAACCAAATATGGTATGAAGGAAAAGTAATACTAGTAAGAACAGAGACAAAAAAGGTAACTATTTTTATAATTTAATTTTCAGGTAAAGTTTTTATAGGCTATTTTCAATGTCTTCTTTATCTGTTACTAACAGCTAACTTTCGTTTAAAAATTTCTATTAACATTTCCCAAAAAACTTTGTAATGAAATTTGAAAATATGTGATAATACTCAATGAGTGATTTTGGTAATTTTAATGAATTTTTTTTATTTTCAATTACTTTACATGATTTCCAAAATCTAACTCCAATTTTTTGTCTTAAACTATTACTATTAATGATTTCTACATTATATTGAGTTTCTTTTTTCATATCAAGAAAAAAAGTTTGTATAATAAAAAGGCTAGGTATTTCATCTACTTAATTTGTTTTATTATTAATAGTTTTGTTTTGGAAAGTTTCTTTTGATGATGAAGTTTCAGTTAAAGGTATGAAAAGAAAAGGAAAAATAGCTTTAACAATTGACTTCAATATTTTTTTTTTGATGACTCGTTATTTGTATTGAAAATTGTAATAAGCCAATTTGCAATAAACTTGATTCCTTTTATGATATCTTGTTCATGCAATCCATCTTGAATACAATTAGATTTTTGACCTTGACCTATATGTTTGTGAATATGTTCACCTAATTGTTCATAACAAGTACAATAGATGCATCTTGGTCAGTTAATTTTATCAAAAGTACGCTTACAAAGTATTAAAGAATCTGTAAAGGATTTTTTTAATGCATTACAATATACCATTATATTACAAAGCACTTGTATATTTCGTTCATTAATTAACCAAGAATGGTTAATATATCCTTTTTTATAGCTGAAGAATGTTACATATTTTTACATCCTGCACACCTTTGATGTTGAATTATTGTATCCTCAATACTCTTTAATTATTTGTCTTTAAAGTTATGAATTTGATTTTGATCATATAAAAAATGTGAATCACAAACACCTAATTTAGTATATTTAGTATAATCCTTACTAACTTCTCGAATTGCATTTTGTATCTATTTGCCAGGTTCCATACAAATTTCGTAAATTTTCTAAGTTTATAAGATTCACCACATTTCTTAATAGTACCCTAAATATGATCAATGATTACGCAAGGTGTTAGTGAAGCAGGTGGTATTTTCACATTAGATTTTTTACTAGTAAACTCTTTATTTATGTCCTCATTATCTTGTATTATCTCATCTATTTCTTCGTGTGGACTTTGCGATAGATGGTGTGGACTTTGCGATGAGTGGTATGGATTTTGTGATGGATGGTACGGGTTCTACAATAAACAAATCTAAATATGAGAAGAATATATTTAATAATTTTGGAACTAAAAAAATAATTTTATTATTAAAAAACTTACCAGATACTGGATTTAATTTCTCTTCCAATTCATAAATATTTTTGGAAGATGATCCAGGTGTTTTATTTTTGCTATTTAAGTCCTTACTAATATTTTCAAAACTATTATTTATTATATTTCATAGCACTTAACATGGCGCAGTATCATTACATGCTTTATAAATTTAAGAGAGATTGAACCAGGATTTTCAAATTGCTAAGATCTCATGTGAATTGAATTATATCACGTGTTTATTGAAATTCCATGCAAAATATCCAGGTATCTTAAATACAAAAAAATTTATTATTGGCACACAAATTATTACTCAATGCGAATGGTATAAGGCATATAAATTGTTATTTGCTTTATTATTAGCATTATTATTAAAGAATCACGTTATAATTTATATCAAAATTGTTACCTGTATATACATGGCTAGTTGCGTCGTAAAGTAACGCCCGACTTTACTCGTTAC